GGCTGGATTCTCCTGGCCACTCAGGTGACGTGTGCTTCCAATTCTCCCTTTGGAAAACCACGGGCTGCAGAGCAGGTAAGGAGGTGGAATTTTTCCCAGTTTTGGTCAAATCACAAGAGTGAATTCATGCAGAATGAGTAATGAGTGGGCATCGGGGTAATGTTGCTCAGAAGGAATGGTTCTACCTGCTTGATTTCATTTTTAAATATCTTTTTTTAAAAAGTTTTATTAGTTTTTATAGGATTAAGGGTAGAATGGGGTCAGGATTGGGATTGGGGTCTAGGTTAGGGTTGGGGTTAGGGTTGGGGCTGGGGTTTACCCAGATAACATTTTCAATATTTAGCCAACAGCATATTGTCTGGGTACAGAGATTTAAACAACAATAACAGATACAGTAATAAGTGATAATAATAAATATGGTTACTTATCTTAGGCAATATTAGTTAATATTGTCTGGGTACAGAGATTTAAACAACAATAATAGATATAATAATAAGTGATAATAATAAATATGGTTAATTATCTTAGGCAATATTAGTTAATCACTCCATGTCATCCTTCTTGCTGGTATGTATTCAAAATTGCATGTCACATTCCTTTCTCTCTGAACCGTTTTTCTAGCCATTGATAAAAATTATCCTATGTTCTAAAATACCCTGAATTTTCTTTCTCTTTAATCTCTAAAGCAGGGGTGTCAAACTCAATTTCATTGAGGGCCGCATCAGCACTGTGGTTGCCCTCGGGGGGCCGGGTGGGTGTGGCATACTGGGTGGGTGTGGATGGGGTGGGTGTGGCCTACTGGAGGGCATGGCCAGCTCTACATCGTTCACATCAAGGGTGCCTGTGGGGGCCTGGGCGGGAGTGGGACAGATCTGGGGGTCTCTGGCAGAAGGGGGGGGCAGGGCAAGCGCCAAGGCATGGTGCATTTCTTCATTCCTCACAAAGGGTGACACCTCCCCAGCATGCACCCAGGGGGCGAGGCCGACGCGGCAGGGGCTGGTTCCTCGCTGTTTCCAGACGGCCTTGTGGAGCTAAGACTGAATGCGTTTCAGCATAGATGGCCACCACAAAATTGTACATTGGCTCCCAGCCGGCCTGGGCCAGGGCCAAGGCAGCGGGGGTCGTTCCCTCACTGTTTCCAGGAGGCTTTGCGGGCCACATAAAACCACTCTGCAGGCCGCATCCGGCCCCCGGGCCTTGTGTTTGACATGTCTGCTCTAAAGTCAGTCTATCCATTTCTGCGCACTCTAGAATTTTTTTTTTAAAATTAATAAGTGTGCTTCCAATTCTCCCTTTGGAAAATCACGGGCTGCAGAGCAGGTAAGAAAGGTGGAACTTTTTCCCAATTTCGATCAAATCGCAAGAGTGAATTCATGCAGAATGAGTAATGTTGCTCAGAAGGAACGGTTCTGCCTGCTTCATTTCATTTTTAAATCTCTTGATTGATAGGGGAGGTTTTACGGGGACCATCGCAAGCAGAGGACAGGCGATACTTTTCGAACAGAAAACGGAGTCCAATCCCAACCTTTCCCCCCGCACCCCAAAAAAGGGTAAGTTTGGTTCAGTGGCGAAGGCACCAGGCTACAAAGTGGGAGACCGCGAGTTCAAATCTCGCCTTAGCTATGAAAAGTGGCTGGGTGACTTGTAAGAGTCAAACACCGGGAGGCGGTGTGTTCTAGTCCTGCCTTAGGGCGTGAAAGCCAGTGAGGTGAACTCTGGGCCAATCATCAGGAGATGGAGAGTTCTAATCCCGCCTCAGGCATGAAAGCTGGCTGGGTGACTTTGGGCCAATCGCTAGGAGACGGTGAGTTCTAGTTCCGCCTCAGGCCTGAAAGGCAGATGGGTGACTTTGAGCCAATCATCAGGACACTGTAAATTCTAGTCCTGCCTTAGGCCTGAAAGCCAGTTGGGTGACTTTGGGCCAATCGCCAGGAAACGGAGAGTTCTAGTCCCGCATTAAGGCATGAAAATTGGCTGGGTGACTTTGGGCCAGTCACCAGCAGATAAATGAGTTCTAGTTTTGTGCCTGTCTCAGGCACAAAAGCTAGCTAGGTGAGCTTGAGCCCATTTCTCTCTCTCTCTCTCAGGCCAACCAACCTCACAGGGTTGTTGTTAATGTAGTAAGGGTAAACAGGAAGAGGAAGTTGTGTTGGATATGTTCGTCTCATTTGCGAACAAAAGATTAAAGGCGAGGCTATGGAGTCATCTGCCAAATGCTTTGCTCCCATCTGCTCAATTTTTAAGGAGCAAATGAAATAGGTTGGGTGTCACTCTCCCCCTCTCAAATACCTTCCCTTTCTCTACTACTACTACTACTACTACTACTACTACTACCACTAGTACTACTACCACTACTACTATTACTACTACTACTAAAGTTGGAAGGGACCTTGGAGGTCATCTAGTCCAACCCCTTGCTCAGGCAGGAAACCCTATACCATTTTGGACAAATGGCTGTCTTAAAAACTATACTCTAACCAGCTAACAGCAGTAAGAAACCACCCAGAGTTGCTCTATGAAGGGAGATGAGCAGTCTCTAAATAGGCCATATAAAATAAAATGCAAATAAATTATAGCAGGCAGTCTATTAAAAGGAGCTATCCTACCTGCAGAAGAGAAAAACCCACATTTTGGGGAGGTGAGGGAGCCAAAAAAGAAAGCTTCAAACATTTGCAGGGGTGGGTTGGAGTTCCCGCAGAGGAGACAAAGAAGTTTATGAAGACAGTCCTCGACTTACAACCGCCATTAAGCAAATCCCCATGGTTGTTGGTGAATTGTTAAGCAACTGTGGATTCAATTAAACAACCGTGGTGATTTGCTTAATGACTGCTGCAAAAAAAATGTCGTATACAGGTGGCCCTTGACTTACAACCACAGTTGGTCACTAGGGTATCTCTATAGGTACCCTATAAAAGAGGAACATAAGCTGACATTTCTACCAGGGACAAGGATAACCATCTGGTAGAGCTTCCTAGTCTGGAAGCAATATACCACCAAATACGTTCAACCAGCATCAAAGAAAAGGACAAGGATTCTCTTTCGTATCCTATTCGGATGTTTCCTGGAATACCTGATTGGCTGCTGCTCGGAAAACACGGATGAAATTTGGGGTTCACAATTTTCCCACTGTTTTCTTGTTCATTTGATCCTACACATGTGGCATTTATTTATAGCAGAACTGCTAGATGCTGTAACAGCTTTGTTCTTTATGCCACTCATCTTGTAAATTTGCAGGAATCTTGTTTTCCCTGCCATGTGTATGTATACATTTGAACTAGGCTATGATGTTTCTCTGTGTCATACGTGTGTGTATGTGGGTACATGCAAAATGGTATTTTTTTTGAGAGCTGAATGCAACGAAATTTCATTGTAATGTATGCTGACTAGTGTACATTTAAAATGACAATAAAGATTCTATTCTATTCTATTCTATTCCATTCCATATTTTCTATTCTATTCTATTCACTCCATATTTTCTATTCTATTCTATTCATTCCATACTTTCTATTCTATTCTATTCTATTCTATTCTATTCTATTCTATTCTATTCTATTCATTCCATACTTTCTATTCTATTCTATTCTATTCTATTCTATTCTATTCTATTCTATTCTATTCCATTCCATATTCTCTATTCTATTCTATTCATTCCATATTTTCTATTCTATTCTATTCATTCCATTCCATATTTTCTATTCTATTCTATTCTATTCTGTTCTATTCTATTCACTCCATATTTTCTATTCTATTCTATTCTATTCATTCCATACTTTCTATTCTATTCTATTCTATTCTATTCTATTCTATTCTATTCTATTCTATTCATTCTATTCTATTCTATTCTATTCCATTCCATTCTATTCCATTCCATATTTTCTGTTCTATTCTATTCATTCCATACTTTCTATTCTATTCTATTCTATTCTATTCTATTCTATTCTATTCTATTCCATTCATTCCATATTTTCTATTCTATTCTATTCATTCCATTCCATATTTTCTATTCTATTCTGTTCTATTCTATTCATTCCATACTTTCTATTCTATTCTATTCTATTCTATTCTATTCTATTCTATTCATTCCATTCCATATTTTCTATTCTATATTCTATTCTATTCCATTCCATTCCAATCCAATCCTATTTCATTCCATTCCAATCCAATCCTATTCCATTCCATTCCAATCCTATTCCATTCCATATTTTCTATTCTATTCTATTCCCATTCCATTCTTAAGATGGGCAACCAAATCCTTGATCAGAAGCCTCATCCATCCCTTCAAGACTCTTCTTCTCCAAGGGATTTGTTCACCTTTACTGCAGGTAGCTGGTCCAGGACAAACTAAGGGAAACTCTGACCTCTAGTGGCAAAAAGAGGAAAGGGTCCGACACTAGCTGCAATTTATTTATCTGGATCCCGCCTTTATTATTTTTAAAAATAATTCAAGGTGGTGAAGATATCCAACACACTTTCCTCTTCTTATTTCCCCCACAGCAACAACCCTGTGAGGTGTGAATCAAACTATGGAGGGACTGGCTGAAGATCACCCAGTTGGCTTTCATACTTAAAAAGGGATTAGAACTCACCATCTCCTGGTGATTGGCCCAAAGTCACCCAGATGCCTTTCAGGGCTAATGTGGGACTAGAACTCTCAGTCTCCTGGTGATTGGCCCAAAGTCACCCAGATGGCTTTCATGCCTAAGGTGGGACTAGAAGTCCCATTCTCCTAGTGACTGGCCCAAAATCACCCAGCTGGCCTTCATGCCTAAGACTAGAACTCACGGTCTCCTGGCGATTGGCTCAAAGTCACCCAGCCATCTTTCAAGCCTAAGGTGGGACTAGAACTCTCAGACTCCTGGTGATTGGCCCAAAATCACCCTGCTGGCTTTTATGCCTAAGGTAGGGTTAGAACTCACCATTTCCTGGTTTTTAGCCTGGTGCCCTAACCACTAGACACACTGACTCTTGAACCGTCTAAATGCAGATGGAGCCCGCATTACCTGTTCCCAGGAGATGACTGCATGGCGCTCGGCCGGTTCTTTTTCCAGAAACATCACTTCCGTAACTCCTGGGGAGGTTTCTACAAGCACAAAACACCCCAGACGTTCAGTTGAAAAAAGAATAGCAGAAAACATAAGAACTGGAAAAAAAAAACTGGGAAAAGGTTTCACATTTTTTGAAAAATAAAACCCCTTATTTTCTGTTTTTACTCTTGCAAATACATTGCAAGAAAAAAACTTGGGTTTGGTTGGAAGTATCTATGCCTTTTCAAGGGATTCCGTTTGCCATTTGTCAGGCAATTCTCTCTGATTGAAGATACCGTTTTCGGCCCAACTGATCACACAGATGGCTGTTGGGGGGGAATTTTTTTTTACTGATACGACTACCACCCCTGCAATGTGGGCCAGGCCGAGCGAGAGCTCTGGGTTCAAAGATCCCCAGAGAATCCCATGGCAGAGAGGGGACTGGAATATGGAGCATTCGCCTCAATCCAGGGCTTTAATGATTACATCGCAGTGTCCGTACCTTACAGTTCAGAGCCACACGTGGGACTGATGGGCGATGTAGTCCAAACACAAATAGAAAGCATCCACATAACAACAATAATAAAATAATAATAAAGTTGGAAGGGACCTTGGAGGTCATCTAGTCCAACCCCCTGCTCAGGCAGGAGACCCTATACCAGTGATGGCGAACGTTTTAGAGACCGAGTGCCCAAACTGCAACCCAAAACCCACTTATGTATCGTTGGGTGCCAGGTGGGTGTGGCCCATTGGATGGAAGTGGCCCATTGGGTGGGCATGGCTACTGTGGTAACGGCAGACTGGGTGGGACTAAAAGTTCAATCAATCAATTCCAACTTTGCAAGATCTTTTTTCCCTGCGAGAAGTTGAAATTGACTGATTGATTGGCAACTGGCTTGTATTTCTCACAGTTGCACATGGCAGCAGAGGCCTAAAGCGAAAAAGTTTATAAAACCCAGCTGAAGGCCTAAGACTGGGGCAATGGCACACATGCCCACAGAGAGGGCTCTGAGTGCCGCCTCTAGCACCTGTGCCATAGGTTCGCCACCACAGCCCTATACCATTTCAGACAAATGGCTGTCCAGTCTCTTCTTAAAAACTTTCAGTGTTGGAGCATTCACAGCTTCTGGAGGCAGGTTGTTCCACTAATTAATTGTTTTAATTGTCAGGAAATTTCTCCTTAGTTCCAGGTTGCTTCTCTCCTTGATTAGTTTCCATCAGTTGCTTCTGGTCCTGCCTTCAGGCGCCTTGGAGAATAACTTGACTCCCTCTTCTTTGAGGCAGCCCCTGAGATATTGGAAGACTGCCATCATGTCCCCCCGGTCCTTCTTTTCATTCAACTTGATGTACCCAATTCCTGGAACCATTCTTCATAAGTTTTAGCCTCTAGTACCCTGATCATCTTTGTTGCTCTTCTCTGTACTTTTTCTAGAGTCTCAACATCTTTTTTTACATCGTGGTGACCAAAAATAGATGCAGTATTCCAAGTGTGGTCTTACCAAGGCCTTCTAAAACGGTATTAATACTTCACATGATCTTGATTCTATCCCTCTGTTAATGCAGCCCAGCACTGTGTTGGCCTCTTTGGAGCTGCAGCACACGGCTGGCTCATATTTAAGTGATTGTCCACTAGGGAAGGCTGATAGAAATTATTAAGACTCATAGACAGGGGGAAACTCCATATCCTGATTAAAGGTAGTCCTTGCCTTATGTCCACAATTGTGGCCAAGAATGCTCCTTGTTAAGCAAGGTGGATGTTGAGTGAGTTTTTTATGACCTGATTTTATGATCGTTTTTTTGCCATGGTTTTTAAGTGAATCAAAGTGGTCATAAAAGTGAATCTGGCTTCCTCCAATTGACTTTGCTTGTTGGAAGCCAGTTGGGAAGATTCGCAAATGGTGATCATGTGATCCTGGGACACTGCAACTGTCATAAATACATGCCTGAATTTTAATCTCGGATACAGTGATGGTCATAAGCGTGAGGCTCAGTTGTTAAGTCATTTCCCTCCCCCCCCAGTGCCGCTGCAACTTCGAACAATCGCTAAACGAACACCTCCAATAAAGGAGAATTTTTGTAGCTCTGGGCTGAAATGAAGGGTACATGTAGTCCTCAACTTACAACCCCCCATGGAGCCCTAAATTTAAGTTGCTAAATGAGAATTGTTTTAAAGTGAGTTTTGCCCCATTTTACAAATTTTCTCGCCACATGGGTGAAGTCAGGCATGTCAAACTCGTGACGTCGCATGACATATTGTGACTTTCCCCCTCATTGCTGGCAATCGGGTGGGGACGTGGTTTTGGCATGACACATCCGGCAGTTTGACGTGCCTGGGTTAAGTGAATTACTGCGGTTGTTAAGCGAGTCACATGGTTGTTAAGTGAATCCGGCTTCCCCCATTGACTTTGCTTGTCAGAAGATCGAACAAGCAGATCTCGTGACCCCCCCCCCCGGACACTGCAACTGTCATAAATACGAGTCAGTTGCCAAAGGCCCGAACTTTAATCACATGAGCAGGTTGATGCTGCAACGGTCGTTGTGAGAAACGCTCAGAGCCACATTTTTTCAGTGCCCTTTTAACTTCAAACGGTCACTAAGTGTAAGTCGAAGACTACCTGCAAGTGGTGCTCTCTTGAGCTCGGTTGCTGAAAGGAACGGTTATAAGTCGAGGATTACATGCACCGTATAAACACTTGGTGTTGGCTAATGTGGACTGAATTTTTAACAAATAAAAACTTCCAGTGATCCAGGGGGAGGGTGGGCTCCTCTTGGAAAACCACAGGTCTTTAAAATCCTTGGACCTGGATCCATGCCTTGAGCAGGGGGTGGACTGGATGACCTCAAGGGCTCCTTCCATCTTTAAGATTCCTACCTCCTGCTATGGTTTAAGGCAGTTTAGGCTTGCTTTGCTGTGGGGTGTCCCCAAGAGAGCAGTCACTGCATATGGGTAAGCACAATTGGCTGCATTGTCTAACCCGGCCCGCTTCAGCAAGCCACAGTTAAACAAGCCACAGTTTAGCAGAATCATAAGGGATGCGATTTAGCAGAGCTTCCCTTTTAAAAGGGCGGGAAACTTTCTCTGGTGCAAAGGAAGGGGAAGAAAGATTTTCTCAGACCTGCGACCACTCAAAATAAAGCCAAAGCTATAAATAAAACAAAAAGATAAAAAAAAAAACAAAGTCAAAACTTAAAATAAAAAGTCAAAGTCAAAACTAAAAAATAAAATAGGTAAAAATAAAATAAAAACAAAAAACATACAAATAAAATAAAAAGATAAAAATAAATTAAAAATAAAAAAGACAGAAATAAAATAAAAAATAGAAATAAAAATAAAATAAAAAAATAAAGATAAAAATAAAAATAAAAACAAAAGAGTAAAACAAAAACTAAAAACAAAGTCAAAACTAAAAATAAAATAAAAAGTCAAAGCCAAAACTAAACATGAAATAAAATAGGTAAAAATAAAATAAAAACAAAAAATATGAAAATAAATTAAAAAGAAATAAAAAAGAAATAAAATAAAAAAAGAGAAATAAAAATAAAATAAAAAAATAAAGTAAAAAGATAAAGTATAAACTAAAAATTAAAGAGAAAAATAAAATAAAATCAAAAAACAAAAAAAGTAAAACAAAAAATAAAATAAAAATTGAATTAAAAAACGAGGAACAGAGAATCAGGTCTCCATTAGGATATCCCAGCTGGAATCTTCAGAACCCAGAACAAAACTCCCCCCCCTTTCTCTATGGATTCTCAAACTGACAGATGAGGGTGGATGGGAGACCACCAGGAAATCCTCAGGCGGCAGGCAAGCCCAGGAAATTGGAAAGTAAAAATCCCAGCATCAGGAAAAGCAGTTTGGGCCAAGGCTGGGAGAGGCTGAAGCCGCCCATCACCTCGCTGGGAAAGCGGAACCTCGCTTGTGGCTGCCCGCGAAACTCCCTGACACTTGATGCCCGGACCGTCTCCTTGGCAACGCAAAGGGGGCGGGCCCCGGCTGCCACTCACCCAGGAGGCGGGTCACCCCGAGGGTGAGCTTCTCCAGGTAGGGCTTCATGCCGTGCAGACCCCGATCCTCCATCTCTCCAGCCGCAAACGGGACGCAAAGCCACCCGGCGGAAGCTTCTTGTCCCGTCTCGCCACCCTTACCTCCGAGCCCCCCTCCCCCCGCGGTGCCTCACATCCGACCCGGTCGTTGACTCGCGACGCTTGACGGGAGCGGTAGTCCAACTCGAGTACCGATTCCTGGGAGAGAAGGAAAGTTAAAACTACACCTCCCAGAAAGACCTGCGCTGATTTTTTTCCCCTTACCTTCTGCGGGAGACCACCATTGGCTGCTGGCGAGGCTCCGAGTTGCCGGGGCCGTATCTGGGCAAAGCTTGGCCCGGGCAGCCAATGAGGAGCGGGAATTGAGGGCTGGGGCGGGGTGGGGCGGAGGGACGCTGGGAGTGGCGGTTGTTTGAAGATGGCGGATGTGGCCGCGGGGCTGAAGCCGGAAGGAGCCGCTTACTGGAGCCGGGACCGTATCCTTTCTTCGGGGCGGCCGGTCGTGGGGTGAGGCGGTTGACAGAAGGAGCGCGGCGTGCTTGGCCTGAGGGGAGACCGTGCGGGGCAGCGGTGACCTGAAAAACCATGACTAGGTAGCCTCTGACCATGTGCAGAGCGCTGCCGCGGTTTTATGAATAGGCACTCAAGGGGGTTTTCTCGCGTGTAGAGTTGTGTGGCCTTGTGGCCGGCGTTGGCCCGGAAAGATAAAGCAGCTGGTCTCTTTTGGGACTACAACTCCCATCCTCCGCAGGCTGGCAGAGTCGTTCCGCCCAGCGGCCTTCCGCCAGTGAAGGACTCCAGTTCCCATTTTCCTTAGCCAGCTGCGTGACAGGATGAGAGATGCAACCCAGTGTTGGCTCAATTTTGGTCATAATTTGAGGACTACCTGCATGTTCCGCCCATCTAATTAACCGAAGGGACTAATATTGGGTGGCTTCATTGCTCCATAAAACTTACATACTGAATTGGGGTGGGTGGGAGAAGGGATCTCTGTCCCAAGAGATCCCTTGCAGGACAACTTTTTTGGGCAGCTTAGATTCCTAAAAAGTAATACAGGTAGTCCTTGACTTAGAACAGTTCAGTTAGTGACCGTTCAAAGTTTCTGCGGCATTAATGATTCATGACTGTTTTTTTCACACTCAGGACCGTTGTGGTGTCCCCAGGGTCACGTGATCAAAATTCGGACGCTTGGCAACTGGCTTGTATTTATCACAGTTGTAGCATCTCGGGGTCACGTGATTTCCCCTTTTGCGACCTGGCAAAGTCAGTGGGGAAGCCAGATTCACTTAGCAACCGTCGTACTAACTTTATTGCAGTCATTCACTTAACAAATCTGGGAAGAAAGGTTTTGAAATGGGGCAAAGCTCTCTTAACAAACGTCTCGCTGAGCGACAGAAATTTTGAGCTCAATTGTGGTCGTAAGTCGAGGACTTCCTGTATGTAGTGCTGCGCTCAATGAAACTAACAACCACCAAACTGGCAATCGTGGTCTGCTGTTTCCCACTTTCAAACTATGCCAGAGAACTCAGTTAAAGACAGACCTAAGGTTTATTTAATACACCAAACTATATAGTAAACTGAACAGCAAGGTTAGCTCTTCACGGGTTGAGTGAGTATATAAATATATATTAAGGACATGTACATGAAGTACACTTATTAAGCATACAAAGTGCGTATTAAGTATCAAATATATTAAAAAGTATAAAGTATTAATATATGTACATAAAGTTATACATACTATGTATGTACATCATCATAAAGTTGGAAGGGACCTTGGAGGTCATCAAGTCCAACCCTCTGCTCAGGCAGGAAACCCTATACCATTTCGGACAAATGGCTGTCCAGTCTCTTCTTAAAAACTTCCAGTGTTGGAGCGTTCACAGCTTCTGGAGGCAGGTTGTTCCACTGGTTAATTGTTCTAACTGTCAGGAAGTTTCTCCTTAGTTCTAGGTTGCTTCTCTCCTTGGTTAGTTTCCATCCATTGCCTCTTGTCCTGCCTTCAGGTGCTTTGGAGAATAGCTTGACTCCCTCTTCTTTGGGGCAGCCCTGAGATATTGGAAGACTGCTATCATGCCTCCCCTCTTTCTTCTCTTCATTAAACTAGACATACCCAATTCCATCAACCTTTCCTCATATGCTTTAGCCTCCAGTCCCCTAATCATCTTTGTTGCTCTTCTCTGCACTCTTTCTAGAGTCTCAACATCTTTTTTACATTGTGGTGATCAAAACTGGATGTGGTATTCTAAGTGTGGCCTTACCAAGGCATTGAAGAGTGGTATTAATACTTCACATGATCTTGATTCTAACCCTCTGTTAGAATAAAGTAATATGTACATAAAGTAATATGTACTGGACTAGAAGACCTCCAAGCTCCCTTCCAGTTCTATTCTATTCTAATATTTGAAAGTTCTGTAATATGTGATAACTGGAGATGAACATTATATAGGTAGTCCTTGACTTACAATAGTTCCTTTAGTGACCGTTCAAAGTTACAACGGCACTGAAAAAAGTGACTTATGACTGTTTTTCACACTTGCAACCGTTGCAGCATCTCCGTAGTCACGTGATCAAAATTCAGGTGCTTAGCAAACTGACTCACACTTATGACGGTTGCAGTGTCCCTGGGTCATGTGATCCCTTTTTGCGACCTGCAAGCAAAGTCAATGGGGGAAGCCAGATTCATGTAGCAACCGTGTTACTAACTTACCAACTGTAATGATTCACTTGACAAACATGGCAAGAAAAGTGGCAAAACTCACTTAACAAATGTCTTGCTTAGCAATATAAATTTTGGGTTCAATATATATATATAGGACTACTTATATATATTTATTAAATAAATAGATGTATTCCTGTTTTCCACAATCCCTTGCTTGAAGGAGTTTTGGAAATCTGCATTTTTGATGCAGAATTCCCCCCCCCCTGGTGAAATCATGTAAATTTATTAAATGAATGAAATATATGTGTTCCCATCTCCCACAATCCACTCCTTGAAAAGTTTTGGAAGTCTCTGTTTTTAATGGAGAGTTCCTCCACTGCCTTTCTCCTTTCGGCGTTATGCCCCTGCTGGCTAGATTTTGAACCAGAAGTGGACTTTGGAGTTGGGGTTTATTATGATTCACTATGGTCATTTGGACAATTGGTCTGCAAATCTGTTGGGATTTTCATTGTTTCTTTTACCTGATTAAGCTTAGAATTGACTGATAAAGTACTGATTGAAAAGCTTTTATAATCAGGATAAATCAGTGTTTTTCACTTTAAAGATGTGTGTGTGGATTTCAACCCAGGGAATGGAATTCCACGTATCTTTAAATTGCCAAGTTTGAAAAACACTGGGATGGATGGTTTCCTTTTTTTTTTTTTCTTGGTAGTTGTAGTTAGATTTCTACAGCTTTTCTCTTAGTATCTGATTTTATTTATTTTGCTTACTACTACTACTACTACTATTACTACTACTAAAGTTGGAAGGGACCTTGGAGGTCATCTAGTCCAACCTCCTGCTCAAGCAGGAGACCCTATGCCATTTCAGACAAATGGCTGCCCAGTCTCGTCTTAAAAACTTCCAGTGTTGGAGCATTCACCGCTTCTGGAGGCAGGTTGTTCCACTGGTTAATTGTTCTCACTGTCAGGAAGTTTCTCCTTAGTTCTAGGTTGCTTCTCTCCTTGATGAGTTTCCATCCGTTGCTTCTTGTCCTGCCTTCTTCAGGGGCTTTGGAGAATAGCTTGACTACCTCTTTTTTGTGGCAGCCCCTGAGATACTGGAACACAGCTATCCTGTCCCCCCTCGTCCTTCTCTTCATTAAACTAGACATACCCAATTCCAACAACCATTCCTTATATGTTTTAGCCTCCAGTCTAAAACATATTGCTAAAACATATTACTATTGCTCAGACTTTGTGCACTTTGCCTCAAGCTGCTTGCCCTGAAGAGGAATACTATAGGTCAGACATGTCAAACTCGTGATGTCATGTGACGTCGCACAACGTATTGGGACGGTTTTGCCATTGTCGGCAATGGGGTGGGCGCGGCTTCCAAATGACGCATCTGGCCCGTGGGCTGGAAGTTTGACACCCCTGGTATAGGTAGTCCTTAATGTACAACAATCCGCTTAGTGACTGTTCAAAGTTACAAAGGCGCTGAAAAATGTGACTTATTTTTCATAATTATGACCTTTCCAGCATCCCTATGGTCACGGGATCAAAATTCAGGCACTTGGCAACTGGTTCGTATTTATGACGGTTGCCGTGTCCCGGGATCAGGTGATTTCCCCTTTTGCAACCTTCTGACAGGCAAAGTCAATGGGGAAGCCAGATTCACTTAACAACTGGGTTACTAACTAATCAGCTGCAGTGATTTTAACAACTGTGGCCAGAAAAATGGTAAAATGGAGCAAAACTCATTTAACGAATGCCTCACTTAACATACATTTTGGGCTCCGTTGTGGTTGTAAGTCGGGGACTAGCTGTATAAAGAAATTATATGTAAAAAGTCTTCTGTGATTTGATGGCATCCTACTCCCAATAGGGTTGCACAATTGAGGCCAAATTCCTGAAACTTAGTGTGGGTACGGTTTCTTGTTATTTTGAAGCACACGACTTTGGTAACATAATCCCCAAAGCGGGTTAAATATAGCTTAAAAAAAATAAAAGGCCTCAGAAGACATAAATGAGAAAAATTCCCACCTGCTTCTGAGTGTTTTATGTGAGCATTACTCACTAAAGGTTTACTCATCTTTCGTCTGTATTTACAGGCTGTTGTAATACACCTGTTATCCGAAAACCGATTTTAGTTTTTGGGAAATCCTTGTTTAAGCGCACAAACTGACTGGAAGGATATAAAATGCAGCAAAATTCACTTAACAACTGTCCTGTTTCACAGTGGAAATTTTGGGAGCTCCGTTGTGGGTTTAAGTCGATATACTATCTGTATACAGGTCATCCTCAAGTTACGACTGTAATGGAGACAGTCAAAAATCGGGTCACCCACGTGACTGACTCAGTGTTATGTCCATTTTGCAGCTCTTGTTGTTCAGCAAATGCTACAGCTGTTAAGAGAACCAGCGGTTCAATATGGGCTGGTTTTGCTGAAAACCGGAAGTCAGTGCTGGTCGTAAATGGGAAAACTGGTCATAAGTTGCTTTTTTTCAATGCTCTTGTAACTTCAAACAGTTGCTTAGAAGTGCACTGTTGCCAGTCCACCAGAAAGTTGGTGGAAAAACCCTTATTGAAGTCAGTGGTAAACCCTTTGTTTGTGTGTGGCGGCCACACTAGCTGCACAATTGAGCCTTTGAAATTACTAGAAGTTGGGGCTGATTGAAGGAATTTGATGTTCTTGCAGACTTTTAGGGCTGGGTGAAGGTGGGCACGGGAAACACGGTTTGAAGTGTCCTCTTAAGTCACCTGGGTTGCCATGGTCACACCTGCCCAGCGCGCAGCGTACTGTTTGCCCGCACCTACAGTATTGTTTGGTGTTTACCCAGAAAGGAGAAGTGGATGAGAAATAAGGAACAAGCTTTTGATTGAACAAGCTTTTGAAACGAGGTTTCTGGAACTGAAATCTAAATCTTTTCCTGCCTTTTCAGAAGATTTTTTAACTGGTCTTATTCTGTCAAGAGTTCACGAAGGGAGGCTGAGTCAGCTAGCTATGCAAGGTAACCAGGTTTGTTTCTGGAAGTTCATATGTCTGGTTTAACGAAGGGAAGGACCAGGGGGGACATGATAGCAGTGTTCCAATATCTCAGGGGCTGCCCCAAAGAAGAGGGAGTCAAGCTTTTCTCCAAAGCGCCTGAAGGCAGGACAAGAAGCAAGCTAAAACAGTGGTGGCGAACCTATGGCATGCGTGCCAGAGGCAGCACTCAGAGCCCTCTGTGTAGGCATGCATGCCATTGCCCCAGCCCTACCTCCCCCTGCAACCCCTTCCTCACCAGTAACCCCCCTGGAGGAGAGTTACTCCTGAGTGCAGCCCGTGCAGAGCAGCACAGCCAAGAACATGGCAGCCAGGCAGCGGGGACAAGACTCCGCCCTCACACCCCGTCATGCACAGTTGATGCTGCGGGGTGCGGATGAAGGGCATGGCCACCATGGTGATGCTGGGCCGCCTGGGGAATCTGCGGCGGGCCATGGAGGCAGTGAGTGGCCCTGTGGGCGGGTGGGATGGGGCAGAGCAGGGGCAGGATGGGGGCGGAGGCAGTTTTTGGGCACTCGGTCTCTAAAAGGTTTGCCATCATTGACCTAGAACTAAGGAGAAACTTCCTGACAGTGAGAACAATTAACCAGTGGAACAACCTGCCTCCAGAAGCGGTGAATGCTCCAACACTGGAAGTTTTTAAGAAGTGACTGGACAGCCATTTGTCTGAAATGGTATAGGTTTCCTGCCTGAGCAGGGGGCTGGACTCGATGACCTCCAAGGTCCCTTCCAACTTTATTATTATTATTATGGATCATCGCACAGTCAGCCAGATGTTCAGACTGGATTTGGCATTTTGTCTACCTATCGAGTCCTTACCCAGGACGTGGGATAGGCAGATGTGGATGTTTGATGGTATTACAGATATCGTCGCAGGATGGAAGCAGTTCCTAATAAGGCTGCCTTTTGCAATTGACTAATAGCGAATTTGTCAATGCCAATGGTGTTCAAGTGGTGCTCCAGTTGTTTTGGGATTGCACCCAAGGAGCCTATTACTATTGGTACTACCCTTGTTTGCTTTTGCCACAGTCTTTCTATTTCTATTTGTAGGTCTTTGTATTTTGTTATCTTATCCAGTTCTTTCTCTTCTATTCTGCTGTCTCCAGGCACTGCCACGTCCACTATCCAGACTTTTTTGTCTTTCTTATCGACAATTGTTAAGTCTGGGGTGTTATGTTGCAGGTGCTTGTCTGTTTGAATTCCGAAGTCCCAGAGCAGTTTAATTTTATCATTTTCTATGGCTTTCCCTATTTTATGATCCCACCAGTTTTTGCTTACAGGCAAATGATATTTTTTGCAGATCTTCCAATGCACCATGATGATGATGATGTTGTTGTAATAGTTGAACGAGAGCACTAAGATGGGACTGAAGCTGTTTTCTCTGAAAATGCACTCTCAGAGAGTTGGGAGAATTTATATGTATGCATGTGCGGCAATTATTTATATTCCGCCTTTATTATTTTTACAAATAACTCCAAGTCACGAGCACAGCTAATACTCCTTCCTCCTGATTTCCCCACAACAGCATCAACCCTGTGAGGTGGGTTGAACTGAGAGAGAGAGAGAGAGACTGGCCCAAGGTCACCCAGTTGGCTTTCATGACCAAAGCGGGACTAGAACTCACGGTCTCCTGGTGATTGGCCCAAAGTCACCTAGCCAGCTTTGATGCTTAAGACAGAACTCACTGTCTCCTGGAAATTGGCCGTTGATTTATTGTTTGATTGTCTGAGTTGTTAGTTCCTTGATTGGGGCGTTGTTTACTGCTTGATTGCTAATCTAGTACAGTATTAATCTCTGCTTATCTGGATGTTGATTGCTGGCAGGGGGGGGGTTCTGTTTCCTTTTTTAGCTTTTTTAAAAAAATATTTTTATTATTATTTTAAAAATTCCATTTCTATATTGAATCGTGGGTTGTCTAGGTATACAAGTATTAAGATATAATAATCGTCACATCCGTGATAAATCTCATCAAGGTCCAATCATATACTAAGAAATAGCAATCAAAATATTAAAAATAGTTTTGCCCACGTTAACATTAGTGATATAACAATCAAATTATAAGTCTTGTTTACATGATCCACATATTCTCATATTTCCATCTTTCTAACCTCTGTTTTTTGTCAACCAACCAATGGTAAAATAAACCCCACGTCACATAATATTCCGTTTCTTCTTTTTCTTTAATTTTCAACGTTAACCTATCCATTTCTGCATATTCCAGTATTTTTGATTACCTGTTTTGAATGTTATGCAGGCGTCGCTTCTCTCTATGTCAGTGGTTCTCAACCTGTGGGTCGGGACCCCATTTGGGGTGGAACGACCATTTCACGGGGGTCACCAAACAACACAGTCCGCCATTTTTCCCCCCCTTTCCTTAGCTGTGCTATTCCCTTTTATTCTATTGGCTTTCAAAAGCCAATAGGAATTGTCCAGGCTGTCTCTGCCCTGCTGAGCCCGCCAAAAGTCCCATTCTGCCAACGGTGCTGCACCAGCTGAGTAGTCCTCGACTTACGACCAGTTGAGTAGTCCTCAACTTACGACCGGTTGGGGGGGGGTCGCGGCATTAAAAAGGTTGAGAACCACTGCTCTATGTGCCTGTCGATGGCTGATTTGTCTGAGCGGCATACTTCCCCTAAAAAGAACGCTCCCACTGACCCTGGGGGTTCCTCCTCCCTTCTGGCACGGATGACGTTACCTAGTTTGGTCACGAAACGTCTCTAAGGAAACACCCAAGTTCAGAGAGCACCAAGGACCCCACAGTTCAGCCCCGAACTGCAAATATTCTTTTCTATACATCTTTGTCTTTCTCCGAAGCAGAGAATCTAGCGTTGGGCCTCTCTGTGGTCCTCCTCCCCAGATTTCCTTCCTGAATAGTCAAACCCCAGACATAGAAGAGATTGACCCCCTTCACTATTCATAGAGTTTCAAAAACCTTCCCTCACTGGAAAGCCTCACAAAGTCCCTTTTTATAATCAGAGCTCAAGAGAGGGAAGCAAAGCGCCCCAGCCTGTAATAACAGACAACGGTTTAATTCAGGTTTGGCTCTTCGAAAGAGTCCACAGCGAGGAACGTCTGCTTCAATCCGCTTAGGATTGGTTGACCGTTGAGTGGAAGGAAGCTTTCCCTGACCTGCTTTTTAAACCTTCTAAATTGGTGGAATAGAACAAAGGTTGTCCTTGCTTTCCTTGAATGATAGCACAGTTTCCGATGAAGATCGGCAACCCGTGTATGTCCCAGGTATGTTGCGTGAATGGCTACTGCACAAGTTTGGACAGGGATGGGCTGGGAATCTGGTCCAAATCCAATTTGTGTGCAGATTGCAAGCACTCGCTGTTTAGTTCTTGACTTAGGACCACAAGGGGCAGGCCCATTTTGGTTGCAAGTGGTGACAGTTGTTAAGAGTGCTTCATTTACTGTCCCCTGTGGTCCCTGATGTGGTCGTTAAGCGGAGCATGGAATGCCTCAGGGGTGGGGGAAGTCCTGGGAGGCCTAACACAGGCCCAGGCCTGCCTGCCCTGGACCCCCAAGTCCCCCTGCACCCCTTGAGCCATCCTGTGCTCTGCTTCCCACCCCTCAGGGGCCCTTCAGACCTTTCCTCCCCTGCCTTCCCTCCTCCCTTTCTTTCTTTCCTCCTCCCTTCTCTCTCTCTCTCTCCCTTCATCTTTCTTGTCTCCTGTCCTGCCAATCCCGTTCCCATCCCACCCCTGCCCTGTCCATCCCAGTTCATCCCACCCCTGTCCTGTCCATCCCAGTCAATTCCAGTTCATCCGTCCCATCCCATCCCTGTCCATCCCAGTTCATCCCATCCCTGTCCTGTCCATCCCAGTCAATTCCAGTTCATCCGTCCCATCCCATCCCAGTTCATCCCACCCATGTCCTGTCCATCCCAGTCAATTCCAGTTCATCCGTCCCATCCCATCCCAGTTCATCCCACCCCTGTCCTGTCCATCCCAGTCAATTCCAGTTCATCCATCCCATCCCTGTCCATCCCAGTTCATCCCATCCCTGTCCTGTCCATCCCAGTCAATTCCAGTTCATCCGTCCCATCCCTGTCCATCCCAGTTCATCCCATCCCTGTCCTGTCCATCCCAGTCAATTCCAGTTCATCCGTCCCATCCCTGTCCATCCCAGCTCATTCCATCCCTGTCCTGTCCATCCCAGTCAATTCCAGTTCATCTGTCCCATCCCATCCCTGTCCATCCCAGCTCATCCCATCCCTGTCCTGTCCATCCCAGTCAATTCCAGTTCACCCATCCCTATCCTGTCCATCCCAGTTCATCCATCCCATCCCTGTCTTGTCCATCTCAGTCAATTCCAGTCCATCTGACCTCACCCCTCCCCACCCCTCCCTTCTCCTGGTATGTGGCTTGGCTTGCTTGGAAAGATTCCAGACAATTTCCAATTTTAAAAGTAGCAGAAGGAAAGATAGTAGCTAAACCCAGCATTAGCACATAACATTGTGACGTTGATTAAACAACTCCGAGGTGAGTAATTAAAAATTATGTGAGCTTGGGCCATAAATTAATCGAAGTTACCTTTATGAAGAGAAGTATTGAAAAGCGCCAGGTGCGTTAACAATCAAAAGCTAATAAATCTTTAACAAATAAATTTTACAGTGTTGCCTTTATGGGAATCTTGAAAATAGGTGTCAGGTCTCTTGAAAAGCCTAAATGTGTGATAAATTGCTTTGTGTGGTTGTGTGTGTGAGTGAGAAAGAGAGGGGGGGGCGGGGAAAACGAGAGAGAGAAGGGAAAATGAGAGAGAGAGAAGTAGGAAAAACAGTGAAACATGAAATGAGAGAGAAGCAGGGAAAACAAAAAAGAAAAAAGGGAAAATGAGAGAGAAGTAGGAAAAACAAATGGAAAAAGAGAAATAGGAAGTGAGAGAGAAGCAGAGAAAGCAAAAGAGAGAAAGTAAAACAAAATGAGAGAAGTAGGAAAAACAGAAACGGAAAAAGAGAGCAAAGCAGGAAATGAGAGAAATGGAAAGCAAAAGAGAGAAAGAAAAATGGAAAAAAGAGAGAAATAGGAAAAACAAATGGAAAATGAGAAAGAGAGAACAAAACAGGAAATAGAGAGAAGCGGGGAAAGCAAAAAAAGAAAAATGGAAAATGACAGAAGTAGGAAAAAGAGAGAAATGGAAAACGAGAGAGAGAAACTGAGAGACAGAAGCAGGGAAAGTAAAAGAGGGAAAGAGAAAAAGGACAAAGAGAAGTAGGAAAAACAGAAACGGAAAAAGAGAATGAAACAAAGGGATATATATATAGATAGATAGGTATAGATATAAATATAGATAGATAGATATAGAGATATAGATATATAGGTCTTTGGTTATTCGGGTTTTCTCCCGTGTCAAATTGGAAGTGTCTTGGCGACGTTTCGACAAAGTCCCATTCATCATCTTCAGGCTGGTGTTTTCGGCTTCGTGCTTCTAGGAGCAATGTGTGATCATAGCTGTTTCTTCAGGAAGAAACAAAAGAAGAAACAGCTACGATCACACATTGCTCCTAGAAGCACGAAGCCGAAAACACCAGCCTGAAGATGACGAGTGGGATTTCGTCGAAACATCGCCAAGACACTTCCAATTTTACGCGGAAGAAAACACGAATAACCAAAGACCTACATACAAACACCCGCGAAAACCTCAGAAAACATAGATATATAGATAAATATATATATATATATATATTGATAGATAGATAGATAGATAGATAGATAGATAGATAGATAGATAGATAGATAGACAGACAGACAGACAGACAGACAGACATGAGATTTCCGGTGAATATTTTATTGTTTTTGTAGTTCCTCCTTTTCACTGGAAAAGTTGAGGGAGATGCCTCCTAAGAACAACTGGAAAACTTCCTGGTCTTCTTCGTTCAATCTGCAGGAGTTTCTGACGAGAGGAATTTGAGACCCAGGCAACTGCGGAAAGGGCAGAAGACAGCAGCGAAGGTCAGAGCAGCTGTGGATTCGAATCCTGCCCCAATGGAGGTCCTGAAAAGGATTGGAGAAGAAGCTGGGCAGCAGGTGGGTTGGGCTTTTCCTGTTAGAGCAACAGCAGCAGCAGCAGCACACTGCGGCTCACGTTTGCCCACGTGGTTGGCTTGTGCAGCTAGCCACTCAACATTAGCGGGAGTCGGGTGGCATATTTGAAGGACCAGCCGTCTCCAGTTCTGAACGACTTGCCTCCAGAAGTGATGGGTGCTCCATCCCTGGAGGTTTTTAAGAAGAGATTGTCTGAAATGATATAGAGCAGGGATGGGCAACCTTGGCTCATTTATGACTCCTGGACTTCAACTCCCAGAATTCCTGAGCCAGCCATGCTGAGGGGAAAGGGAGAGGTTTCCAAGCTGGCTCAGGAATTCTGGGAGTTGAAGTCCACGAGTCATCAAAGAGCCAAGATGACCTACCCCTGGTATGGAGCCTCTTTTTTGGGGGGGGGGAGGGTTGGACTAGAGGACCTTCAAAGTCCCTTCCAGCTCTGTGATCCTGTTACAGGCTTTTTGCAAGGCCTTTCAGATGCAGATTTGTCAACCATGTGTAGCATGCAGTAATGTGGCAGAGCCTTTGCAGGGGTAGGCACGTTGATTTATTGTTACTGGTTCTCTCTGTGTTTTGGGGTGTTTTTTTTTTTTTTTTCTGTTGATTACTTGTGTGCTTCTTTTTCACAGTTGTCTTTTTATGAGGTTTTTTTTTTTACTGTTGTTACCCATCCAGCATCATGAATTTGTGGTGAAGGGTCCTGTAAGTTGCAGTAATAAGTAATAATAAAACATGTAAATAACAACGGGAGTTGAAAATATAATAATGAGAGATTCCCTCAGGGAGGCACTTCCTTAATGGGGTCATGGGGCTTGTGTGCTCTGATGAAGATGAGAGCTAGGCCAGAGGTTCCACCATACTGAACAGATCTCATCAGAGGAGTCAGACAGAGCGTCTCTCCTATAAAAAATATGGTGGAACGTTATTTGCAAAAACTAATGCCGGATTGGTCATCACTTGGGTCAACAAGGACCATGCTAGGAGTTGGAGTTCCTGGATATCTGGTGACCAATGGGCTACAATTAATCAATCAGAATAGTGCTGGAAGGGACCTGGGAGATCTTCTAGTCTAGCCCCGTGCTGAAGCAGGAGACCCTATACCAGGGGTCTTCAAACTTGGCCCTTTTATGACTTGTGGACTTCAACTCCCAGAATTTCTCAGCCAGTGTGTCCATTCATGCAAATGCTGCTGAGAAAAATCCCATCAACAGGCCCAGCCAGCCTCCGGGGAACATCCAGGCTTCAGGGATTTGCAAAAGGCCAAGAGGCCTGGGGCCAAGTGAATCTCAGCAGGGGAAGATGCTTATCTTCTCCTGCAGACTGTGTTTTTCTGCGCTCAGGTGTGCCGAGTGTTGCGTTAGGAACCCAACAGTTCCTGAGCTCTAATTGCGGGTTTATCGGGTGTTTGAGAAGCATCTGCTTGCCTTAAGTGCACCCGAAACTCAAATCGCCAAAGCAGAAACCCTGACGTGATTGTTCACCTGTGGCACTTGTGCGTCGAAATTCTTGGACTCACAAGGGCAAAAGGGAGCTGCAGGTGTCTTCTGTTAACAGAGGAGCGCGGTGTCACGGCACGCGCACCCCAAACGGTGAGCCCGGAGTCTTTGAAACCAGCTTGTCTTTTGAAAAAAAGAAAAAAAAACCATAGAGAATTCGAGCAGGTTAAAAACTCCAGAGCTCTTGACTTGAAGCAGTTTGAGTGAAAAGGCTGTTGTAAATTAAAAAAAAAAATCAAAGGAAATGAAATTATCCGTCGCCCTGGGGTGGCCTGAATCTTCCCTGTGTGCAAGTTGATCGCTGGTATCTATTCCAAAGTCGGCTTGAAATATTAACGTTTGTACTTTTTGAAGTCTTTCAAAGAAATAGTAACAAGCCAGAAAGATGCTGTTTCTGAGTATTATCTAACCCAGGAGTCTTCAAACTTGACCCTTTTATAACTTGTGGACTTCAACTCCCAGAATTCCTCAGCCACGAGGATCACGTGAAGGGTTAATACCACTTTACAAGGCCTTGGTAAGGCCACACTTGGAATACCGCATCCAGTTTTGGTCACCACGATGTAAAAAAAAGATGTTGAGACTCTAGAAAGAGTACAGAGAAGAGCAACAAGATGATTAGGGGACTGGAGGCTAAAACATATAAGGAACAGTTGCAGGAATTGGGTATGTCTAGTTTAACAAAGAGAAGGACGAGGGGGGACATGATAGCAGTGTCCCAATATCTCAGGGGCTGCCCCAAAGAAAAGGGAGTCAAGCTATTCTCCAAAGCGCCAGAAGGCAGGACAAGAAGCAACAGATGGAAGCTAATCAAGGAGAGAAGCAACCTAGAACTAAGGAGGAATTTCCTGACAGTTAGAACAATTAACCAGTGGAACAACCTGCCTCCAGAAGCGATGAATGCTCCAACACTGGACGTTTTTAAGAAGAGACTGGACAGCCATTTGTCCGAGATAGCAGAGTTCCAATATTTGAGAGGCTGCCACAAAGAAGAAAAGGGTCACCTTCAAGAAAAGATTGGATAACTCCTTTTGAAATGGTACAGGGTCTCTTGCTTGAACAGGGAGTTGAACTTGACCTCCAAGGTCCCTTCCAACTCTGTTATTCTGCTACTTACAGCAGGACTTGCCAGATAAGAAAAACACCCACAGCATTTTAGCATTTTAGTTTGTTGATTTATAAGATTCCTATGGCCACCCCTATTGTGCAATAGAACTCAGGATGACTATCAAGCCCCTATGGATATATGAAACCATGAAAAGCAGGAGCTCCCCTCAAAATTTAAAAAAAAACCCCAAAAACCTTTCTACTCCAGCTGTCAGACCTGCCCCAGAACAATCGTTTAAGGAAGCCGGTCCTCAGCTCCAACCGATGGAGTGAAAAGGACTTTTACTAAAGATGTCACCGCTGGCAGGAAGGCCAGGAGGAAACTGAAGTTCCCGCTCAGCGATACAAAGACCCAAGCCCACCGTTTCCCCATCCCACCCACCCCCGCTCCCTAATGTCCGGTCTGTTGCCACCCAATCCAGGATTGCCGCAGTGTTGTGGGAAAGTCTGGGTTGTTTAGGCTGCTGGAATTTCACAGCCAGGGCAAGCAACCTGAAAGATGCTCGGCATACAAAATGCTCTGGTCTTTTCTTCACGGGTCAGCTCCCCCCTCCCTGTTTCCCACCATGAGATACAGAAGTGTAGTTTGCCCCAAAGGCCTTCCCCCCCCTTCCCCTTTGAGGGCAGGATACCAGCAAGGGGCCAGACGGACGATGGAGATCCTGACACCGGCCCAGTTTTTAGGGTGCTAGAAAGAGCAGGTAATCCACTTAAGAACTGGCAGGGTGTGTGTGTAATAAAATGGGGCATGACTCATTTCACAACTGCCTTGTTTACCCGTGAAAATGTCAGGCTCAGTTGTAAGTCGAGGACTAGCTGCATTCCAACACACCTATCTGGTTACTAAGAACTGTTGAAGTCTGATAAGTTGGTGGAGTAAGCAGAAATTTGCTGGGCAGCGCAGCGCCCTCTGGTGGTGCAAGCACACAAATCTTTGAGTAAAAATGAGAAGGAAAAAGGGACGATGACATCATTGGTATTCTGGCTATATATATATATATATATATATATATATATATATATATATATATATATATATATATATATGTTTTCGCGGGTATTTGTATGTAGGTCTTTGGTTATTCGGGTTTTCTCCCCCGTAAAATTGGAAGTGTCTTGGCGACGTTTCGACGAAGTCCCATTTGTCATCTTCAGGCTAGTGTTTTCAACTTCATGCTTCGAGGAGCACGAAGAAGCACGAAGCTGAAAACACTAGCCTGAAGATGACGAATGGGACTTCGTCGAAACGTCGCCAAGACACTTCCAATTTTACACGGGAGAAAATCCGAATAACCAAAGACCGACCAACCGACCTACCTACCTACCTACCTACCTACCTACCTACCTACCTACCTACCTACCTACCTATTAGGGATAGGGTGGGGTCGGGATTAGGGTTGGGATTTGGGTTAAGGTTGGGGTTTTTTGCAAGTAACTTTTTTAATATTTAGCAAATAGCATAATGTCTGGGTTCATGTATTTAACTAACAATAATAGATATAGTTAATTGTCATAAACAATATGTTAATTAATCACTCAGTAGCCTTCGTCTTAGTAATAGTAATAGTAGTAAAGTTGGAAGGGACCTTGGAGGTCATCTAGTCCAACCCCCTGCTCGGGCAGGAAACCCTACACCATTTCGGACAAATGGCTGTCCAGTCTCTTCTTAAAACTTCCAGTGTTGGAGCATTTACTGCTTCTGGAGGCAGGCTGTTCCACTGATTAATTGTTCTCACTGTCAGGAAGTTTCTCCTTAGTTCTAGGTTGCTTCTCTCCTTGATTAGTTTCCACCCGTTGCTTCTTGTCCTGCCTTCAGGCACTTTGGAAAATAGCTTGATTCCCTCTTCTTTGTGGCAGCCCCTGAGATATTGGAATACTGCTATCATGTCCCCCCTGTCCTTCTCTTCGTTAAACTAGACATACCCAATTCCAGCAACCGTTCCTTATATGTTTTAGCCTCCAGTCCCCTAATCATCTTTGTTGCTCTTCTCTGTACTCTTTCTAGAGTCTCAACATCTTTTTTTACATCGTGGTGACCAAAACTGGATGCAGTATTCCAAGTGTGGCCTTACCAAGGCCTTGAAGAGTGGTATTAATACTTCACGTGATCTTGATTCTATCCCTCTGTTAATGCAGCCTAGCACTGTGTTGGCCTTTTTGGCAGCTGCAGCACACTGCTGGCTCATATTTAAGTGATTGTCTACTAGGACTCCGAGGTCCCTCTCACAGTTACTACTATTGAGCATGGTGCCACCTATGCTGTACTTGTGCATTTGGTTTTCTTGCCTAAATGTAGAACCTTGCTTTTTTCACCATTGAATTTCATTTTGTTAGTTAGTGCCCAGTGTTCAAGTCTGTCCAGATCCTTCTGTATCTTAAGCC